GCAGGCCACCAGGAACAAACAATCAGGAGCAATCACAACTGACTGTGGTCACTTGCCTACCCGTCGGGCGGTCGGTCTGTCTGTCGGTCACACTTACATATACATACATACAGCACGGTCAAACCCGGCACTTGGGGACGGCCCACCAGCCAGCCAGAGGAGACGTTGAGTCTGGAATAGGAAATCTGAGCCTCTGACTTACCTGTTAGGCTCTTCTCCAACAAACAGGCAAACAACTCACTGCCTTTCGTCTACCTTCCCCGCATAGACAGGCAAAGCGAAGAGGGGAGTGTCGGCAAGCCCCCATCACTGGAAAGGTAAAATCTCCGGCGGTCCACCACCGTTGTCACCGGGCACGTTGTTCCACCATTGCTAGGCGCTTGGAGGGTCGAGCTTGCTAGAGAAGGTCCGAATACTTTGGCCCCGCGATACATCGCGCTGCCAGAACATCAGGCCGAGGAGCGTTTCCATCGCCAGATGAGAGAGTTATCGCCATCGTGAGCGTCTACGGCACCAGAGCCTCTCCGGGAAAACATTTCTACTCCCACTCTGGGGTTAGCTTTCTCCGCTAGGCGCTGCTCTCCGCAGCAGGTGATGGGGCCGAGGTGATATGGTATAATAAATATATAGCGATGGAGTTACCTGCGATATCGCCGTGGGCGGCGCGCCTCGAGACCGTCTTGAACCCCTCGAATTGGCAGGCGATACAGTGGCCGACGGCATCGCCGCTCTTTACAGTCGAGATGGCTCCCCTCAAGAGTTTGCTGACATGCTCGCTGTCGCTGTTCGGTTCGGTCTATGCCGGCTTTGCCAGAAGAGAAGGCCATGCATCATCGACATCGTGCTCGGGCCCCTTGGTGAACGTGAAGAATGGAACGTATAGAGGAACTCACAGCGCCGAGTACGACCAGGACTTCTTCCTCGGTATGCGATATGCGCAGGTGTGTTTTTCCTGATATGCTAGCTAGCTGTGATCTTTCTGAATGAGTCTGATATGGTTTCTCCAGCCTGCGGAGCGCTTCCAGCTGTCGGAGCCATTGAACTCCACATGGGAGGGTGCATTGCCCGCGAAGGCATATCCGCCGCATTGCGTGGGCTATGGCGGCGATATGGTGGGCTATAATGTGTCTGAGGATTGCTTGTTCCTCAACGTGATCCGTCCAGCAGGTCTCGACACGACAGCGAACCTGCCCGTAGCAGTATGGATCCACGGTGGAGGCCTGGTAAGCCTTTTCACGAATCCCAGGTGACACTTCAGATACTGACATGTCGTAGTATATGGGCGGTTCTGCGGACAAGAGATACAACCTGTCCTTCATTGTGCAGAACAGTGTAGAGCAGGGAACTCCCATGATAGGGGTCAGCCTCAACTATCGCCTGTCAGCCTTTGGCTTCCTCTGTGGAAGTGAAGCCCTTGATGCAGGTATCACCAACAACGGATTCCGTGACCAACGTCTTGCCCTGCGTTGGATCAACGAAAATATTGCAGCGTTTGGTGGTTCTCCTGACAAGGTAACCATCTTCGGCGAGAGTTCCGGCGCGGAATCTGTCAGTGCCCAGGTCCTTGCGTATAATGGTATGATGCCCGCTGCTCTTCGTAAGTAAACATTCTCATCTGAAGTGTAGGAAGAGACGACGGTTTGTTCCGCGGCGCGATGGCCGAGTCTGGATTCGGAGGCGCCATCGGACGCTTTCCAGGCGGCTTCAATAATACGGCGGCGCAACAGGCTGTATACAACTTGCTCGTGACCAACACATCATGCGCTCCGACCGTTGGTACTCCCGCATCACTAGACTGCTTGCGAGATCTGCCTTTTGAAGAAATCAACACAGCACTGAATGGGACCTCAGCTTCGCCCTGGCCGCCTGTTCTCGATGGTGATTTCATCGCCGACTTTGCCCACAATCAGTTGGTCAATGGCAAGTTCCCCCGGATCCCACTCCTAATCGGCGCAAACTCCGATGAGGGCTCGGCTTTCGGTTCCGGAAGGGGTCCGAACGGCGGTGGCGTGTATACGGACGAAGACATGCGCTATGCGATTTCGAATATCATTGGACCACAGGCTGCTGAGCAGACGGGAAGGACGGTCGATGAGCTTATCAACGAGCTCATGTATGTTTACCCTAACATTCAGGCTGTGGGCATCCCGACTCTGGACAAGTGGCCTGTGATACAAGCGGGAGACGTTGTTGCCGCTTCCAGTGGCCTACAGTATAGACGCACTGGTGCTTTGTTCGGTGACTTGTCGGTAACCTCTTTCCTTTTCATCAAGCAGCCCCTAACTGACCTCCTCAGCTCTATGCATTACTCACGACGACGATCAAATATTGCTTGGTCCAATGCCGGGCTACCGTCGTATAGCTTCCGTTTCGATGTCGTGGTCGCCGGGATACCGGGCTTTGTTGGGGCCACACATTTCCAAGAGGTTCGTAGTCTCTTTCACCATTCTCTAGTCCGTCGACTCACCCCTTTAGGTTGCCTTTGTCTTTTACAACCTGAATGGAGACGGCTACGCCACGAACCCATTTGCAAATATGTCGGCTGCGTACCCGGCTCTAGCAAAGACCATCTCTAGTGCTTGGATCAACTTTGTCACCGTGCTGGACCCGAACGGCCGAGACGGTCTCGACGGCCCAGTCTGGCCGGTGTATAACACAACGGACGGCGGCGGGATCGGCAAGGAGATCGTGTTCGATGTCGGCGGCAGCTATGTTGAGCTGGACTCGTGGCACGCGGAAGGCATGAACTGGATGATTGAGAATGCCCTGCCAGTGTTCGGTAGTTGAAAAGAAAGCAAGTTCGAATCAAAGACGCCAGATTAACCCCAAGTTCCCAAGCAAGGCTCTTGAACTAAACTAGACAGATGAGGTCAAGATAAGGTTGGGTCAACGTGATCGCCCCGATCATCGCCCTCCAACGGCGGTGTATCGGTCTTGTCCTCGGTACATGATGTGTACTTCGGTCAGCTCTGCAGCCCGTCAATATGCACCTAGGGTCTAGAGTCGACGTCGTCGGCCAATCTGACATGTCGTCGGGGCTAGAGCTTAACCTCAACGGTCGCTGTGATCCGTACGATTGGAAAAATCTCGCATGGTGGCTGACGCCCGGCCCGTTCATTTGACTGCGGCAATTCCCCATTCTGTGCCCGGATCGGGACTTTGCGGGCCCCCCTTTTCGGCCTGTTGCGAGCTGCTGCTTTAGTGTGGCAGGAGAGCCATATGACTCCCTTGAATTGGCTTAGAAGCCTTATCTACTTTCTCCGGGCAATTATGAGTGTAATCCGGAGGAGGCTGCCCCAGCCTCTGGCTAAGCAGCTGCCGGGCTGGCTCACAGCAAGGCTAGTCAAACCTCAAGCCACCGTAAAGAAAGAGATTATAAGCCTTATGATCTACTCTATTACAACAGTGAGTTTCAGGTCACTCCAATTATTGGTTCGGCGTGGTGTACGTATTCGCCCGCCCAGAACAATCATCGCCTAGTAATAAGCCGTTCAAATAAGATCACTCGTGTATTGTTGCCGTCTATTTCCAGGCATAAAACTTTGACAGATAAGTTTTTGTTTCAAGTAGTATGTGGTAACTAGGATTGCCTTTGGTATAATCTTGTTGTGGCCGAAGCTTTGAGCACATGGTGCCGTCCTCCGGGATCTGGGCCCGCATCGGCGCCGCATTGAGCTCGGACTCCCCTTCGATGTCCGGGTTATCGTAACAAAATCTTGGCCCGGAGTTTGCACGGTACCATGTTTATTTAGACTTGTTTTGTTCGATATATTTTCCCATCAGGCTTCTGAGGAATTCCAAATTACTATGCAATCGGTCGCTTAGAATCGATTCCTTCTTAGGCAGGAGCCGAAACAGGCGCAGATCATTGGCTATTTTTGCCGAAACGGCGTAGCGGCATCTAGAATGGACAGACAACATCTGGAGGAGTTGTCGCATCATCCTGTCCACAGCTACCGTGACTCAACCGGGATGACAATTGAATATACGATTTTACAAATCCACTTTCTGTCTCCAGATAAGCTGAAGACCGACCATAGGTAACCTTGTATAAATGTTTTGAAGTGGCTCTCTTAGCTTTGTGATATAACATCAACAGAAATCGAAGAAACATCGATAAAACAATGCCACAAACAACAGTCATCCCAAAGGCGCTCCGACCGGGCGGCACCATTGGCTTCATCTCGCCCTCAGCGAGGCTGAATGAAATATTCGCAGTGCCAACCGCTCGAGCTAAAGCCGCACTGGAGAACAGGGGCTTCAAAGTGAAGATCTTTTGGACTCACGAAGACCCGGAGAACACTACGGTACAACAGCACATCACGCACCGCAAGCAGGAAATACTTGACGCATTCGCGGACAAGGAAGTCGATGCCATTATTGCCACTATTGGCGGACTTACCTGCAGCGAGCTCGTTCCGCACTTCATAAACGACGAAACTGCTCTTGAGACGCTCAGGAGCAACCCCAAAATCTTCGTCGGATACTCAGATATCACGACTTTGCATTGGCTTTTGCACAAGTACACGGGATTGCGAACTTTCTATGGCCCAACGGCACTTCCAGAGCTTGGAGAGTTCCCAAAGCCGATGGATTTCACAATTGACAATCTTATCCGGACTATCGTCCATGATCCTGCAACTGGGGCCGCTCCACAAGCTATCGGACCTGTCCCCCGGTCGATGGAGTGGGCACCGTATGTCGCGGATTTTTTCCTGTCACCCAACCCAGCATCCGAGAAACCGAGCGAGTACGTGCCAACACCTGGTTGGGAATGGCTACACGGCGGCAAAGTCACGGATGCCCGCATCTTTGGCGGCTGCATCTCCCTCGTGCAAAGACTGCAAGGCATCCGCCCGATTGTACCGGACTGGAAGGGACGCGTGCTGTTTCTGGAGGCATCGCTAGGCGACGATAATGTGTCTGGGATATCACTAGAAAGAACACGCCAGCAGTTCGCGGACATTGTGGCACAGGGTGTTGTGGACGATATCAAGGGCCTAGTGTTTGGGCGCTTCGCTGGATATCGTACCGAAGAACAACGGCAGGTCATTTCGAAGCTGATCAGGGAAGTATTTATCGAAAATGATGCGGTCACTAACGACTTCCCGATCCTGATCAACGTGGACATTGGTCATACGAGCCCGATTCTTACAATACCGATGGATGCTCTGGTGAGCTTAGACTCGGAGAAGGACGAGTTTGTAATTCTAGAAGCTGGCATCCGTTGAAGAACCTTGGATATGATAGATAGCACTTAATGATATGATATCCCATAGTTGTCCAAAGTCCTAAAATATGTTAGCACCTCAGCTTGAGACGTGTCCATATGATCACTTCACTTTCCGCCTCAGTATCTTGCCTTCAAATCTCAATAATATAAGTGAAAGATCGACAGGGCATTATTTCAAAGTAACGACAGGATCTGTCGTCAGAGATTAAAGAAGATCTAGCTCATTTACGAAAGTAAATACAAACGTCAATTACTTGAGAATTAGAGTTCCGAATGATAGATGTTGTGATTTTTATTGAAGTTCCGAAATATTATTATTGTCATACATTCTCAATTTCTATGAAGATAGTAACCTCCTATTGAGGAGATCGCGATATTTTTGCCAAAGTAGTGTCATCATTCTAGCGGAGGAGGTCTCTCCATCACCTAACTGCTGAAGGCTTAAGCTTCAATACCCGATCCGGCATCTGAAGAAGCTGCAGTCAAAGACATGCAAAGCGAAAGGGTCTTTTCTTTGTGCCCATTGCCGCCATGATCGAACCTTATCCATCATTGCTTGTTTGTAGACGTTTTCATTGTGTCAAGTATTTAGTACAACTGGCTTTGAACAATTTGGACGCCGTCTTTACATCGTACTAGTATAGTTACTTGACAAGCCATGGTGAAGATGGCTGAGATCTGGAGTAGAAGCTTTAGTTCTATTTTGAGTCTGGCCTCCAATAGACTGTAGAAGATTGTCTGCCTCATTGTTCATGAATGGAGTGAAAAAGACAGTGTCCCATCGCAGACTGATTGTTTCGCTCTGGCTACTCGCATGAGCTTTCTACTATCTTCCGAGACATCAAACAGCTTAGACAACATCAGAGCAAACGTCTAATATCAAAGATTCCCCATAATGGCACAATTAGCGCTACTGCAGGATCCAGATTTTGAGCAGCTACATAAGCAAATCACTCAAGCACATGGGGCCATGCGAAGAGGAGTTGATGAAGAGTACGATCAAGCGGTATGGGATGACTATGGCATACCTCTCGCAGAGACCCTGAATTTCGAATGGTCCATCCCTGAATATCGACCAGAAATCGATGCTCAACAAAACTTCCGGCGCAATAAGTTTGTGGTTGCCAAAGAAGTGGGCTACGTGACGCCGATTTCAAACCCAGCCATGCTTCAAAGTATCAGCACGAAGCTCAATAATGCCGCTCATTTGGCATATAAGTGTGGGTTTCGCTATGTCAAAAACCTCGCCCGTGGCGGTTACGGAATGGCAGTCCTTCTCGAGTTCAAACATCAAAATGGCGAATGGGGCCCGTACGTGCTCAAGATTGGACTTCAGGGGGAGCAACGTGACCATGCGGTCATGAAAGAACTGGCACGCGCAAAACATATTGTGCAACGAGTATCTGCTCGCGAGCTTAACGAACAAAACGGTCGAAATATTCAACCAGGAGCTCGGCCGGCCGACGACCCGCAACAGCCCCTCGATGCGGCCGAGCCTTGCGAAGAGCCATACGAGCAGGATTTGTACGATTTCGACACCGACGAGAGCTTGATCTTGATGGAATACTGTCGACACGGTGATCTTGGCCGAGCAATCGTAAGAAGCAACTTGGATGCCGAGAAGGCCGGAAATACGGGCAGTCGAACGTCGGAGCCTATACTCTGGCGCCTCTTTAAATGCCTGAACAAGAGCGTTATTGGTCTCGCATATCCCCCGATACATCAGCCCAGGCCAGGCGACCTCAGAGCTTATGGAGTTCCGATCACCGAGACAATACCTCCAGCGGGTGAACGAACGTTCATGAACTTCGTTCACTTCGATATCGACCCTTCGAACGTGTTCGTCGGAGAGCTCGATCAAAGTGTACACAGTGAAGTCCCACTATTCAAGCTGGCAGATTTCGGCACCACCATGCAAGTTGATGAGGAATTTGAGAACGATGCCGAGCAACTTTGGAAGGCGCGTCTGCTCGGGAAGCTAGGGCACATGGCCCCCGAGCAATGGTCACCTCATTGGGACCTTGTGACTCTAAACCCTCGGGATGACGATATTCAAGTAGCAGGGTGTTATGGATGCCTTACTAATGTTTATCAGATCGCCACCGTCATGTTCAGCGCCATCGTCGGTAAGGGCGTTCCTCAGCCGCCCATCGCCAAGCTATTCCAAGTACCTGTTGCCGGCCCCAATGGCGACGAGACGGAAAGCCGGTATACCCTTGGCTGGGAGCTTTTAGAGCTGGAAAATTACGACAGTCTCAGCTTGGAACTCAGGGAACTCATAGTTGACTGCTTGAGTCTCGATCCTCGTCATCGACCAGGACCAGATCAGCTGTCGGAAGTTATCGATCAGGGCATACGAGACCACCCGATGACAGACAAAGACCGTGAGACTGTCAAGACGACATACCTCGACGGCAAAGATTGGAAAAGCAAACCAATGCCATGGACTCCCAAAGAAAACATCGACCCTAATAAGATGGATGAAGAGGAGATCATCGAGGAAGAAGAAAAGGACCCCAAAGGCAAACGCAAGGCCGAAACCGAGAAAGAGCTCCCAGCTTCAAAGAAGCCTAAGCATACCCCGGATCCGTAAAGGCGTTCTATTGAAAGAAACGCTAATAGCTAGACAAAGGGCTTCGAGATCCCCACACATTGGAATCTGCTCAAGCCATATTCGCAGCTTTGGTCAAGTTTCGAAATCTGGAGTCTCCAAACTGCAATTTTGATGACTTCAACGGTCTGCAGCGCTGGGCTTAATCGATAGCATGAGCTTAGCTTGGTGTTGAAGCTGTGGCTGATACAATTATGTTTTTATCAACTTTTTTAGATATCATTGAATTCTTTGTTGTACAGCATTTAAAAGCAATTGAAGAATAAATTGTTTGTAATATCAAAGAAGCGCCAGCATCCTAATTCTAACCCAATCAAATTTCGAATGGAGCGAAAGGATAATACGACTGCCTTGATATACCAAGAGACTCGAAAAGAAATCGAGGACCTGTCTCTTTAAAGTATTGGTATGATCTGTCTTCGGGGGTCAGGGGAGATGCTAGCTCCGGGGCCGGCCCGGCAGAGCAGCAGCCTATTGGCCAATCAGGAAATCTGCGAGTGGGGATCTAGGGAGCTCAGAAAATATGGCACCAAGCTCCATGGACCAGGACACTTCAACCGTGCAATGCCACAACCATTGACAACGATGGCCACGCCACTCATGACCAGGTCTCCGACCTGCCTCACCTGCCTCCGAAGAATCAGCCAAACAATTTGCAGCGGCAGCCCGGCGTCGCTTACCCAAGTGCGCGGCAAGAAAACATCCGGCCGGCCGACTGATCGAGGCGTCCTGGTGCGCCTGCTCGAGGATGTTCCCAAGTTTGGCCGGAAAGGTGTGCAGGCCGCTTATCATGGAGGTCTCATGAATTACTTTACTGATCGTGGTCTTTTATAGATACAATCTTCCGCACCGAGCGCGGCCGTATGCGCAACATTTGGTACCCACGGAAACAGGCCGAGTACATGACCACTGCTCGCTTCGCCGAGCTGGGACTGACCAACGATTCCATCGGTGAACGGGACCCTCTTTTTGGAGTCTCTTTTGCGCGAGAGGGAGTTGAGGAGACCGAAGAGGTCGATGCCGCAGCTCGACCAATGGTTGAGGGCGTGTCTGTAAGTCTCAACCACCTCCCCGACCTTGGCCTCGGACCTTCAACACAACTAACATTCTATCCCAAACAGCCTCAACGCGCTCACGAACTCCTATCCACCATCCTGCCCGAGACGATTGTCTTCCGGCGCAAGCTGATCCACCCTCCCTCCGCACCCGCCGCCGCTCCCACAGCGAACACGCCTTCCGCGCCGCGGTCGCCCCTGCTCGCCGCCCAAGCAGCCGTCTCCGCCGCCTCGCGGCCGACAGACCTGCCCGAGCCCAACTACGAGCCCACCGAGAAGACCGAGGCGGTCGACCCGACGGCCGCGCTCGCCATCTTCGGCTCCGTGTCGACGACCGACATTGCCGCCGCGATCAAGGAGATCCTCGTCCATGACACGGAGGCCGCGCGCATCATGCTGGACGGTCGGGACGTCCGGTTCGTTGGGATGGAGGACGGTGCCGACAGGGTGAAAATGCTGGGCAGATGGGAGGTGGAGATCATCCCGAGGGGCGAGGCTTCTGGCTTGGAGTCTGTGAAGAAGGTGGTGGAGGTCATTGCTGAGAGCGAGTGAGCCTCTTGAATCTCTCATGCCGCTGAGTGGGAGCTGGTTGTTGCGCTGCAAACATGTATATGTAAAGTATCATTGTATCAAAAATATCACGAGGGCGTAACCCAAAGGATTTAAGCGTATTGCTTGTATATTACTTGCTACACTGGGCTTTAGGAGACCTGTCATCCCCGAGTCGATATAATACAGTCAGGCTGTCTCCCCTACAATCTCCTTTTGCCCCTATAACCATACGTGCAACCGAAAATAAAAATGTTGGTATGCGGTGTGACGCCTATGCTTTCCATATATGCTATTGATGCCTTGTGCGTACAGCAGTGCTGTGAATCAACGCCAATGTCATATTCAATAGGGTATTAACACGCTTAGGGAGTCAGTCTATTTCCGCTTCTTTCCACCATCATAGCCTAGGTCCAGGCTCCATAGGGACTCCCAAACAACACTTTTCTTGGTTGGGCTCTCG